GGCTGGGGGTGGGGACCATGGTCTCAGGGGACATCCAGGTCAATTGGTATAACATAGTTCATAAAGAAAATGTTCTACATTCCACTTTGGTAAGTAGTGTCTGGGGTCTTAAAAGCTTGCAAGTGGCCATCTAAGATACATCTATTGGTCCCATCCCATCCAGAGCAAAGGAGAATGAAGAAAACCAAAGACACAAGTAAAATATTATCCCAAGGGACTAAACGACCACATGAACCAGAGACTCCACTAGCCTGAGACCAAAAGAACTAGATGGTGGCCAGCTACCACCAATGACCACTCTGACAGGGATCACAGAAGACAGTCCCAGATACAACAGAAAAAAAATGTAGAAAAGAATTCAAATTCATGAAAAAGGACCAGACTTACTAGTCCAACAGACACTGCAGGAACGCCCGAGACTATGGCCCCCAGACACTCTGCTAACCCAGAACTGAAACCATTCCTGAAACCCACTTTTGAGACAAAGATTAGACAGGCCTATAAAACAAAAAATAACACGTTAGGAACGTGCTTCTTAGTTCAATCAAATATACGAGACCAAATGGTCAACTCCTGTCCAAAAGCAAGACAAGAAGGCAGGATGGGACAGGAACTAGACAAATGGACACAGGAAACCCAGGGTGGAAAGGAGGAGCATGCTGTTACATTGTGGGGATTGTAACCAATGTCACAAAACGTGTATAAATTTTTGAATGAGAAATTAACTTGAGCTGTAAACTTTCGCCTAAAGCACAATAAAATAAAAGGTGGGGGGGAGGGGGCGGAAGGCAGAGCAGAATTTCAAATTCTCACAGACTCCAGACTTTCTGGAGCCATGAAGGCTAGATGAACCCCTGAAACTACTGCCCTGAGATAATCTTTAAACCTTAAACCAAAAATATCCCCTGAAGTCTTCTTAAAACCAAACAATAGTTTAGCCTAAGTAGTAAAAAATGTCTGCTTTGAGCATTATGCTCTTTTAAGAACTATCTATATGGGATCAAACTGACAACAGCAACTTGAAAGATTAGATAGGAACCTTATGGGGCAGTGAATTTATGTTAATGGAGGAGGAACAACTCAAGAGCAGGGTGAGAATAGCTGCACAACTCAAAGAATGTAATAAATGTCACTAAGTGGTACCTGTAGAAACTGCTGAATTGGTGTATGTTTTGCTGTGTATATTCTCAACAACAACAACAAAAAGATTACAGCTAAAAAAAAGCCCTATGGAGCACAGTCTACTCTGTAACATATGGGGTTGCCATGAAGTAGAATCAACTTGATGGCAATGGGTTTGGCTTTAGGTATAAATAAACAAAGCAATACAAAAGCAAGGGAAATAATCTACAAGTCCAACTTTAAAGGAATAGTTTAGTAAATATGACCCAGCAATACAACGGAACATGATGCCGCTGTGAAATATTTAGGGAGCCCTGGTCGCGCAGTGGTTAAGCACCCAGCTGCTAACCAAAAGGTCGGCGGTTTGAACCCACCAGCCACTCCACGGGAGAAAGATGTGGCAATCTGCTTCTGTAAAGATTTACAGCCTTGGAAACCCTGTGGGGCAGTTCTACTCTGTCCTCTAGGGTAGCCTCTTCTAAGGTGCCTCTGGGTAGACTCAAACCACAACTTTTCTGTACCTAACTAAAGTAAGGTGCCTCACATGGCAAATGCCACAGAGAACTGGTAGGAATTCTTGAAGGACAGATTAGTGACTCTAGGAATCCAAAGAAACTATTCATCCTGCATCTCCTGACTCCTCCTTGTGGGGCCAGCCTCTCCTCCTACATAAGCTCTGAACATAAGGGGACCTGTTGAGGCTGCATTCCAAAAACAGGAGCTGGAAGTAAATCCTGTCCCATACGAAATCATAACAAAATAAGCACCATTCTATGAAATGTTCACTGTCCCTTTCCCTCCTCTCCAACAGGCCAAAAATGAAGCATTGAGAATTAGACATCAGTTGTGGCCATCTTTGGGGGTGGGAGTGGTGGTGAGAGAGATGAATTCTAAGTGGAAAAAAATGAGGCTGGACCAAATCTCCCCGCTCCCCTTGGTGATAGAAGGTGAAAGGGGGAGGAGGAAAAGCTGGGGAACAGACAGGAAAGCTCCAGAAACAGTGATGACATTAGCTGCAGTTACAACTCATGGGCATAAGTGAAACCAATTATTTCCATCAAAGATCTAAAATCCCACACCAATCAACCTTCTGCCAAAAGATCTGAAGAAATAGGGGAAAAAGAACAAAATGAACTCACAAAAATACATTTAAATTGGTGCTACATTGGAATGCCTCTACTGAATCCCATAATTACTTCAAAGTCTCCAGGGATGATGAGAGAAGCCAGAGTGCTCAGAGATGAGGGGGCTGCCTTCTTGAACAGGATGACAACACAACACTAAATCACAACAGATCACAGGAGAAGGGGGAAAATGTCAACTGCTCTTGAAGATCAAAAGCAGCTCATGTCCTTTGAGCATCACGCTGTGGACGGGAGATGAGACCCACAGGCAGAGCCAGGAAAAGTAAACCAAAAATCAGGAGGCATCTAAGGACAACGCCAGGTCTATGAATCAGAGACCGCCACCTCCTGCAGGGCATAGCAGAGAGACACCTGGCAGAAAGCAAGCCATATGCTACTGAAGGCTAAGCCAGGCTTGAGGAGAAAATGGGGCAGAGGGAGGAATCAGGCCCCGCATCACTGCCCCAGCCCTACGGGGCAGGGAGAAGGGACTGTGTAGTCAGTAATACAACATTTTACCTACAGACCTACTTTATCTAGAGGAACCACTTTGAGAAAAGTAAATTATGTGAACCACCCCATCCTTTCTTCCAATGCCCTCTGGATTCAAGAACTGGGGTTCTAAGAGTTGACATATAAATATGATACACAGAGAGGCTGTCTCCTCAACACTTAGAGGTGGAAACATACATATCCGAATCAATCCATCTAGAGCTGCTGGCAGAGGACTGGGTTAAAATCAAGGGTCCAGGCATCCTATTTTGCCAGTGCTCATTAAGGCAATTTGCTAGAAAAGCAAGGTATCTCATGTTCCCTCCTTTTCAGTTGCCCTGGGAGCAGCAGCTTGCCTTTAGACAGCCCTGGGCACTGGATTAGGTGGCGCGTAGACTGGGTTGCTTCTATAGGCTCATCTAGGGGAGGGCCTGAAGCTGCCAAATAAAAGCTACAAAGTAGCAGCTGGACTCTTAGGATCATCTCTCTGGGGCTGGCAAATCTAAGATATTCGCCCTCCTCTACCAATCCTTAGAGGAGTACTGCCCAGGATCAAATCAGAAGGGTACAGAGGCCTTCATTTCCTGGGCTCCAGGGAGTTCTCTGCACACAGAGGTCCAGGATGCTGGGCTTCCACCCACTATTCCTGAAGTAAAATGAGGAAAACATCTGCAGGTGGCTTGAAGAGGTTCATTTGGGGATAGGCCTGAGTCCACTACTCACTTTTTGCTCAGATAGATGGGAGGAAAGGATAGCCTCTTGCCTGCCCTTCTCTTGCCAGCCGTCAGCTAATAAACCCATTTCTGATTTCTATGAGCAAACGGCAGACAACATTCACATATCTTTCACTGCCGAAAAATTCCACCCCAGCTCAATTAAATCAGAGACCTATCTTTATACCAAAGACAGAAGCTCAGACTGAGTAATTTAAGGAAATTCCCAGAGAAGTCTCAATACAATAAGCAAAAAGGCTCTTGTCCCCAAAGATCAAACTTGAAGAAAATAAACAAAGCCAAATACAGCCAGAAAAGACAAATTTATGATTCAAGCATTTCAATTTGGAAAGCAACTGTAAATTTCCTAGAAATTTAAATGAGATATTATAGACCAATATGTTCAGGGGTTCTCTATTTTACCAACCCACAGAAGCTGCAAAAAAAAAAAATGTTTTTCCTTTTTTAAATTTAGACTGGTTTCAACCAATAGCAAAAAGGGTGACATCCTATCTCTTAACTCACACCTCTTGGGGGCTGGGGTGAGGGAAGGGGAATAAAATACAAAGTGATAAATCAAACACCTAGATTAATCAGTAGAAACTTTCTAAGATGCACATTTAGAAAACGTAAGCATCAAAAAAACTTTAGCACAGTATCAGACAGGCTCAAAATAACATCTAAGGAAAAAATTGTCACACTGGAAAAACAATTATTTGACAAAACAAACAAACCTTCAGCCTCTACCAAAGTAGCCTATGCTCATTAAGGATATGGGTTAAACGGCTCTTAGACTTTTATCTTATTTTATACAGGATAGTTATTGTACATCTTTACCCTGAATCATCACTATGTCCACAGTATTTTATACTGTATCTTTAAACTATTCGGTCCTCATCCCCTGTCCTTTAGTGTATAAAAAAGTCAATTGCTGTCAAGTCAGCTTCGACTCACGGCAACCCCACGTGAGTCAGAGTAGAACTGGGCTCCACAGGGTTTTCAAAGGCTGATTTTTTTTTTTTTTTTTAAATTAGATTGTCAGGCCTTTATTCCAAGGCACCGCTGGGTGTACTCAAACCTCCAACCTTCTGCTAGCAGTCAAACACGTTAACTGTTAACCACCCAGGGGCTCCTCTTAAGAGTACCAAAAAATTAAACCAAACCCATTACCACTGAGTCGATTCTGACTCACAGCAACCCTACAGGACAGAGTAGAACTGTTTCCTAGGCTGTAAATCTTTATGGAAGCAGATTGCCACATTTTTTTCTCGTGGAGCAGCTGGTAGGTTTGAACTGCTGATGTTTTGGTTAGCAGCTGACTGCTTTGACCACTGCGCCACCAGGGCTCCATATAATTATTCACTTAAGATGACTTCCACTTTCTGGCTGTACCTCAACTCTGAAACTGAGACAATGTACTAAGATTTCTGCTTACACAGTATAGGCAGTGTCACCACAACACATATTCTCTGTCTCTCTCATGAAAGCCCGAGGGACTGGGCATCCTTTGGGAAAAAACAAATAAGGCCATTATCTTGTCTTTACTTACATGTCAGGCAGACGAGGACTGTGCGGATGAACAGATCTACCACTAACTCACAATGCTCTGGCACTCGAGACACAAAAAAGGGGATGACGATTTCCGCAGGGACGTAGAACTGGAGGGCGTAGGTAAAGAAGATGCCAACGGAGTAGAGCAGCTTGACTGACTGGTACAACCTGCAGAGAGAGCCAAGATCCTCTCAGAAACCTGCAAACTGGTCCCACAACAAATGTGGCAATACCTATCAGTTGCAAATGCACACGGCTAGGAATGTATCCTGAAGATATACTTGCACCCGTGCACACAAACTTACATTCAAAATACTTCACTGCAGCATTAAGTATGAAAGACTGAAAATGCTTAAATGCTAATAAATAGGGAAGTGGTTAAATAAGTCACTGCGTCTCTATCTATCTGTTTACAAGTATGAGACAGAACTCAACTTGCTGATATGGAACTATTTCCATGATACACTGTTAAGTGAACAAAAAAATGAAAAGGAGGGTGAAAACAACAACCCCCCCCAACCCAATTACTTTCTTACATACATTGAACATCTTCATCAGGAAAACACAACAAACTGCTAACATGGCTGTGTCTGAAATGGAAAGTCGTGGAACTGGGGGCTAAGGGAGGGGATGGAAACTTCGTTTTCTCTGTATACCCTTTGAACAATTAGAAACTTCACCATAAGCATACATCCTTTTATAAATAAAAACAATTGAAAATAAAATTAAAGTAGTAACAAGCCTATTTATATCTTTCACATCTAATTCAGTGCTTCCAGGACTCAGACAGTGACCATGCAGGACACGGTGGCAGGAGCAGAATCCATCTTTTCATCCCATTACAGCCACCTTCCTACCATCGTTTCATGGTAGCTTCCCAGTGAGGCTACTGACTCACCATGGGATATTCCTATTATCACCCCAGTGCACAGGACTGTACAGAGGAGAAAAACGTCTGTGATCTGTAAGTACTTATAGATCTGACTTGACCATTAAAGGGAAGGGCCACTCTGCTCCGAAGGACAGCCCCACTTCATGAATTAAGCAGACGGAAACGTCTGATCTCTCTTGCTGGAAATCTATTTAAATGCAGCAGTACGTTCTGTGTATAATGTGCACTGAGTTTCTCTGTTGTTGAACTTAATACCCAGATTTTCGTATGCTATAAGCAGGAGACCAGTTACCAGTTGCCATAGAGTCAATTCTGACTCATGTGGCTCCTTGTGTGTCAGAGTAGACCTGTGCTCCGGAGGGTTTTCAGTGGCTGGTTTTTAGGGAGGAGACTGTCAGGCCTTTCTTCTGAGGCCTCTAGGAGGGCTCAAACCTCCAACATTTCAGTTAGCAGCTGAGCACGTTAACCATTTGCACCACTCAGGGACACCATAAGCAGGAAAACACCCTGGGAAAGGCTGAGTTTGGTTAAAAAGGTTTCACTTGCTCCAGCAATAGATAATAAAGACTCTTTGGAGAAACCAGCTGGTGACTCCATAATTAGACTCAGCGCATCACCGAAGCCTTCTGTTGTGCTGGGAAGTCCGGAGTCAGGAGAGTCATCTGCAGCGACAGCCAAATAAATTGCACCCTGACAGCAGCAGAACGATCACGGCAGCTGTGTTTGGGTGTCAGAGGAAAAAGACAGATGCTCAGCTACGGCTTCAGAATACGTGCGCTGCTTCTGCTGCTCCCCATCCATTTATTTTCTGGGGAAGGGTGACACAGTTATACCGAGCTACCACCGACTGTCCCTCTTGAAAGGCAGGAGCACTTTGAAATTTAAAAAGAGGCACCAGAGGGAAAGAAAAGGAACAGCTGCGTCTGAAAATGATGGCCCATTTCAGGGCTCCTCTTGGCTGGCCATGAGGCAAACTTGGTCCCTCGTCCCCTGCTGATAAGGGCATCCCGGGCTAAATACTGATATGCTGCGTAAATATATTTCTCAATCTGTCTTTGCTCAAAGCCTCTAAAACCACACCCAGGCAGATCACTCAGGCTGCACTGAAAGATGGTTCTGATCGCCAGGGCAGCTGGCAAGCTTCTCAGTGTCTGCTAACAGCTGTTCTCCACAATGAAATGTTTATTCTTAAAACATTGTTCCTCAGGACACACCCCGTGACAGCTAGCTTTTCTGGAAGTATTTCAGCATGTCTCAGTGTTTCCTTACAATGCATCAACCAACCTTTACTGTTATAGATTGAACTTTAACTGTGTCCCCCGAAAATATGTGTTGTACATCCTAACCTCTATGCCTGTGGTTATAATCCCATTTGGGAATGGGTTGCCTTTGTTATGTTAATGAGACAGGATTAGTGTAGAGAGTGTCTTAAATCAATCTCTTTTGAGAAATAAGAAATTAAACAAGCAAGTGAAAGAAGCAAGAGGTGGGGGAAGAGAAATGCCAAGCCACAAGAAGACTGCCCAGGAGGAGGAGCTCCGAAGGGTCAAGGATCTTCCTCCAAAACTGACAGAGAGAAAGCCTTCTCCTAGACTTCGCACCCTGAAATCAGACTTCTAGCCTCCTAAACTGTGAGAAAATAAATTTGTTTGTTAAAGCTACCCACTTGTGGTATTTCTGTTATAGCAGCACTAGACGACTAAGACAGTTGGAGTGAAGCACAAAACGTTCCCGATATCCCTGATCCATCAGATGCTCTCTCCTTCAAATCAGACCTGTACCTGCCAAGCAGAGACACAGCAGACGCCGGTAACCAAATGCAGATTTTCGTCCTCTTCCCACCTATTTGGACTAGTTTAAGGTGAATGGAATGGATAGTTGGCCTTTCCAGGGTCAGGATTTCCACGGAGAAGTGGCGTTTATCATTTAGCTACAACCAAATGATTCAGTATCAGCCTCCATGGGAATTATGGAATCACTGCATCTAACACACAGAATCAAGTTCAAGGCAGCATCCTACTAATCCATACACCTGTGCGGCATTACAGCACTCTTTCCATATATATAATTTGGTCTTCATGACAATCTTGGGGGGGGAAAATAACTATACCTGGTTCTCAGAAGAGAGAACTAAGATAGTGAGAGGATAAGTGATCTGTCCAAGGCCACACAGCTAGAACCAGGTTCGAAGCCCAGTCTTCTAAACTAAGACACTTCTATCCCCTACACCCCAGCTGCCTCCCAATAATGCCATTTTATTCATAAAATGCTTCACAGTCTCACAGTTTAGTCCTCCTTATCATTCAAAAATCATTCCCAGGGTGAGTGTCGTGTGCCAGGTACTGTGCCAGACCCTGGGACACAAGGTGAACAAGGTTGTTCCTGCCCTCACAGGGCTTACAGTTTAGGGAGGTCACGATACAAGTGAGCAGGCAGTAACAACACAACGGAGGAAGAACTAGGATAGCAGAGCACAGGGTGCTAGGGGAGCACAAAGAAGGGGCATCTAACCTACACTTGAAGTTGTGGGGGGTGGAGGGTCAAGAGAAGTTTCTCAAAATGAATGAACTAAGCGAAGCCCTCCTGGCTGAGTAGGAATTAGGTGGGGATGGGGCTAGAGCAGGAAAGGCCTTGGCAGCCATGTTAAGGGTTTTGTCTTTATCTTAGAAGCAAAGGGAAGTTTTTGAAGGGGTTTTAATAGGGGAATGCATGATCAGATCAAGGGCAGTAAGGTGGAAAACAGAGTTAGGGAAAGAGTAAGACTTACGCATGGAGACTAGTCAGCAGGTAGCGCAGTGGGCAGCAGTGAGGGATGGTGGGGGCCTAGGGGATGGCTCCAGCAGTAGACTAGAGTGAAGTGGGCTGATTTAAGAGAGAATCAGGTATATATACGGGATCAAATTGACAACAGCAACTTGAAAGGTTAGATAGGAAGCTTAGGGGACAGTGAGTTTATGTTAATGGGGGAGGAACAGTTCAGAAAAGGGGAGTAGGAATGGTTGCACAACTTGAAGAATATAATCAATGTCACTGAATTGTACATGTAGAAATTGTTGAATTGGTGTATGTTTTGCTATATATATTTTTAACAACAATAAAAATTAAAAAAAAAATAATTAGGAAGAAGAATTCACATTAGGATTCATTACTTTTTTAAAATCTCCAGTGCTCCCAGGCATCCTTCCATCCCCCACCACATACCAGCAGTTGGGCAGGTTGAGGGTTATGCTGCCTTGGATGTGAACTCCAAATTGCAGGTACCCCAGACACCCCAGACTGATGTAGAGGGCGGTGACGATGGCCATCCCACAGTACAGGATGAGGGGAAATTTCCGGGGATCCTTCATTTTGTTTTCCAGGGGCAGAACCTATGAGACAGTAGTGAGAGAGTAGAGAAAGCAGAGAAAAAAAGCAAAATTAATGGCCAACAACAAATTAACATCCTCAGAAAAAAGTAAATTCTTTATCCCAAGGGTTCCCCAGAAGCACATCTGTACTTTACTAGACAGACAAACAAACAAATAAAAGTTGTTTCATTAGAACTTTTACTCTTGGGAGCTAGAGATGGTCCTAGAGCCCATTGTTTGGTGGGGGAGGACTAGGGCCCAGGACTCTTGGCCAGGCCAGTGCTCTGTCCTCTTGCTGTAGGATTCCTGTTGGGTGGGAGTGTCCTCCTTTGCCCCATGAATCAGTTGCATGGCAACCAGGAGGTCCTCTCTCACTCTGCCTGCCTGGCCTGAAAGGGAACGGGATGCTGTGATGGCACAGGGCGGCTCTACCCAACTGAGATCACAGCTCCCTGCTAACCTGTCCAAAGAATGAGAAATGCAGGTCAAGGAAAAGCACCACTATAGTTCCCAGAAACAATGTCCTTCCCTCAGCAGAGGCAGGCAGCAGTGGAGACATGTTAAACCACCAAGTTAGAGAAACTGAGGTCCTGGAGGTAGCATGACTTAATACGCGTCTCAGATCAGGTCCATAACAAAGCCCCATTTCCAGAATCCTATTTCAAACCACTGAGCCTTGCTGCATCCTTCCTCATAACAAAGGGTATTCTTCAACTTTAGCTCAAGCAAAGAAAAACCCAACCCAAACCAAACCCGTTGCCATCAAGTCAATTCCGACTCATAGCGACCTTATAAGGGTAGAACTGCCCCGTAGAGTTTCCAAGGCTGTAATCTTTAGGGATGCAGACTGCCACATCTTTCTCCTGTGGAGTAGCTGGTGAGTTCGAACCACTGACCTTTTGGTTAGCAACCGAGCACTTTAACCACTGTGCCACCAGGGCTCCTAGCAAAGAAAAGGTCCCCTTATAAAGATAAGTTCATTTAGGAACAAAGCAAATGGCAGGTGTGACCATGATGAGGTTCACAACTGCTATCAACTGGCTCTGGAACAAGGAAAATCAACTCAGAGCAATGTCTACCCCACACACTACCTTTGGCTCGTCATTACATCCTTTTCTTTGAGTGCCTGCAGCCATAAGGAGAGTGGTCTATGCCAGCCACACTCCTGCACACAGCTGGTACCGGCACCCCAGGGGCACCACAGCTCTCTCATTCCCTTCAGCTTCAGTGCTCCCCCCGACCCCCGTACCAGCTCAAGGGTCTCAAGCTTCAGTTAATCCGTATCAACTAGAAGTTTCTACATTCATCCTTCAGTTTCCTTCACATCAAGAGTATAAAGAGCCAGAGGGCAGGGAGCCCATTTCCCCTATGTTCTGTCAGACCTAGCTCTGCGGCATAAACACCCAGAGGGGACAATGGACACACCGCCAGCAGCCAGGCATCTTACCCTGACCCACTGAAAACCCTTCAATCCAAATCTAAGAGTCCTAGTAGCAATGTTCCCTCCTACTGTAAAAACAGAAAACACAAAGAAGTCTTAAAGGAACGGATAATGATGTTTACATAATGACTCTGTATCCAAGCCCTGACTAATGAAATAAAGCAAAGAACGGCTTCTGCACAGTGTTGTTAGGGAAAATTGATAGATTTAGTACGTTTCTTAAGAACACAGGGTCTCTGAAATCTTTCCACATTTAATCAACCTCTTCTTTTAAGCCGTTAGTACTTGGAACATTGACTCTTATTGCTGAAATTCAGGCCCATTCCAGCCTCCACCCACCAGCAGGGAAGCCATTTGTGTTTGTGAATAAGGGTGAAACACTCCTCAAGGAAAGAGAAAGGTTGGTTGTCCTCAGAACAATCAATGATCATGACCTAAGGGTGACAGTTCACTCAGAAAGCCTCCCCAATGGTGTTAAAGCCTCAACACATTCCTTCAATACCACCAGCGTGATTCCTCAGTATTTTGACCAAAAAAAAACTGTCTGGCTTCTAGATTTTCAAAAAGTATAAAAGGTGATAGGGAAATCAAACAAGGAAAAAAAGGAATGTCATGGAAGGAGAAGGGTCTTCCCATTTCCCCAGCCCTTGGCCAGCAGAGCAAACAATTTTTCTTGGAGAAGAATTCTGGACCTTTATTATGAAAAATATAAATTAAATTAAATTAGGTACAACTGAGCGGCAGATTCTTCTCTTTAGGAGAATTAGGTGAGGTCACAGCAACAATGACGGGAAGCTAGGCCAGGAGCGAAGGCGGCTCATTTACACACAGAAGATACACTACATCAGTGTTCTACGACAGAGAAATTATTTATACATTTATTAATTTAATAATAAAATCAGTAATATTACAAATAGAAATAAAAATTTAGTTAATGGTTACCATGTGTCAAGGACTGTGCAAAGCACTTTACACATATCATCTCATTTAATCCTAACAACTACTAATTATTCAGTTTACTTTTCAGAAACAATGAAACCTCAGAGAACTTACGAGAGAAGTGTGCAGTGGAGGGGTTTTCAATGTAAACATTTAAAAATTACATACTTTATCTTCAAAAGTTAGAGATGGAAAGCATCAATGGAAATCCCTGAAACGTTATTCCATAACTGGCCAGAAAGTCTCAGAAGATAATTTCTAACAGTATTTCCTTAGCATTCATTGAAGCAGATGTCTAGACCGCCAAGGGCACCAGAGAACACTCGGGCTCAAATCAGCGCAACTCTTACCATCCCAATTCCTTCAAAGGCAAAAATGGCTGTACCGAAGAACAGTGGGTAGGTATTCCAGGACGCCACCAAGGGAAGGTGACTGGGGTTTGGGATTCTCTGAAAGAGAGAAAACACAAAAAAAACAAAAGTCTATACGGAAATTCTACATTTGTACCCGGAATCAGAGGTCACACCCTTTCCTAAATCCAAGATTCTCTGAAGGGAGAAAGCGTGACACCCGACGTATGAACTGGAGGTGTGAAAGCTTTGTACTTTTTTCCCTTCAGGCTGGGAAAACCCCTCTTGCTTTGGTGAAAGACTAGCCCAATATTTTGTAAAAAACTCAAACGTTGGAGCTTGTGTAAAAATACTCACATTATTTTACTCATCCTCAGAAATCTAACCCAAGAAGAAAAAAATCAAAATATGAAAAAAGTTGAACAAAGATATGTAACAAAGTTACTGAAAACAACTTAAATGCTCCAAACAAGTGAAAACAGCTAATTAAGTTACCACACCTCAACTACACCACAGAATATTATGTACTCTTACAAAAGTAAAAACTGGAATAACTGACCAGCACATGTAAAACTGCTTATGAAACAATACTGAGAAAAACATTTTTTTTATAATTTATACATCCACTATGATGACAACCACATAAACACTCCACACAGATAACGCTGGAAGAAAAAGTAGATTTTTAGATTAGCTCTTTTTCTTTTATCTCCTTTTTTTTTTTTGTTTCCATCAATGAGTTTGTACACCAGAAAAATATTATCAATAGACACATGGAATATTTTTAAAAATAGTCAAAGGAACATTAAAAAAAATCAGGCAAACGAAAAAACCAAGGAAATTGTTAACTGCTGGTACAATGTGGGGTTGTACAAGCAAGGACGCTCAACCACAGATCCTACTTGGCTCACCAGTGAGCAACTGTCACCAGGGACAGGCGGCCCTGAGGGAGCAGGGTGGGGCAGGAGGGAGGTGCAGAGGTTGTCCTCTGGGACTGAGACCATTCAGCTGGGACTGAGACTTGATAACAACCCTAGTTCCCATCCCAGCCCTTTATCATGGCAACCACCACAGTCCAACTGCCTGTAGTGGTTTAATGCTAAATGTAGTTGTGTATGGGTGTTTGTGCGAGGTGGGTTCAGTCATTTTGCCTTTTAAAGGCCCACTGGAGTGTAAGAAGGAGCACTGGTGGTGCAATGGTTAAAGTGCTCAGCTGCTAACAAAAGGTTGGTGGTTGAAACCCACCAGCTGCTCCGTGGGGGAAAGATGTGCCAGTCTGCTTCCATAAAGATAACATCCTTGGTAACGCTATGGCAGCAGTTCTACCCTGTCCTATAGGGTTGCTATGAGTCGGAATCGACTCCATGGCAATGGATTGGGGAGTGTGAGAGCTCTAATTACAAAGTTATGTACAAAGGTCTAATTACAAAATTATGTTGTTATTCACTCTTCCTTGTTTTGATTTAATTTGCCAGAGGTAGGGAAAGAAACTCTCTGGAATGAGCTCTCATGCATTCACAGGCCCTCCTCCCAGTCCCGTAAGAAATGAGACATGGATACTATCTATTTTATGCTTTTAAAAATACTAATGCAGAAGAACAGTCAATATCTGCCATCCACCTGACTTAGCATGATGAAGAAAAATAGTAATACCCACTGAGTACAATGCTAATCTAAATTTATTATACCATTTCCTCAGTACAGGAAGTCTCTGCTCTTTAAAATCCACTGTTCGCCTGGAAATCACATCAGTGAGTAACCAAATCGCTGCAAAGCAGACTATGTGGAAATGAGGGACTGCTCACCTGTCAGAGTGACTAGAATGAAACCAGTCGCTACACCCAGTGTTAGCCAGGGCAGGAAAACAGACACTCATACATACTGGGGTAGGGGGTATATAGAAAATTGGTAAATAGCTTTTGGAAAAAGCAACTTTGGAATATAAAATATTCATGCTCATCAGCAAGTTCACTTCTAGATAAATATCTTAGAGAAATATTTATACATGTCCACAAGGAAGAATTTATAAGAATACTCACTGTTGTAATACTGAAATAATACTAAAAATTATAAATGACCTGACAGTTCACTGATTGGGACTGGTTAAAGAAACTAGGGCACATCTATTCTGTGTAATACTATGTAGCAATTAGAAAGAATAAGATAGAGCCAGGTGGAGCAACATGGAAGGCACTGTCAGGATAAAAGGCAGGCAGATAAACAATGCATAGAACAGTTTTTAAAAAAAGTTATGTCAAAAACACACAAAACGAACCATATTACTTCTCTGTATACTCATATAGTGTGTAAATGCATTCACAGGGTCTGGAAGCTGACAGTCCAATTGGACAAAGTGATTGCTGAGAGGAGGAGACTTGGTTTGAGAATGTGGTATTCAAGAGGTACTTGGATTATGTGCATTTTAATGAGTATGTACTTACGAACTGAAGTCCTTGGGTGGTACAAACAGTTAACATGCTCAGCTGCTAACTGCAAGGCTGGAAGTTCGAGTCCACCCAGAGGTGCCTTAAAAGAAAGGGCTGGTGATCTACTTCCAAAAAAATCTGCCACTAGAGGGAAAAACACTTAAAAGACAATAGATAAGCGGTAGCTTTGGTGAAGGGTAAGACAGTACACAATACTGTGGAAGCCAGCACAACTTGTCCAAGGTGAGGTCATGGAAGCTCCACAGACAGATCCAAACTCCCTGAGGAACTGAATTACTGGGCTGAGGGCTCTGGGGACCACGGTCTCCAGGACATCTAGCTCAACTGGCATAACATAGTTTATAAATAAAATGTTCTACATTCTACTTTGGTGAGCAGCGTCTGGGGTCTTAAAAGCTTGTAAGTGGCCAGCTAAAATACTCCACTGGTCTCATCCTTTCGGGAGCAAGAGAAAATGGAGAAAACCAAAGACACAAGGGAAAGATTAGTCCAAAGACCTAATGGACCCCAACTACCACAACCTCCAAAAGACTGAGTCCAGCACAATTAGATGGTGCCTGGCTGCCACCACTGACTGCCTTGACAGGGATCACAACAGAGGGTTCCAGACAGAGTTGGAGAAAAATGTAGAACAAAATTCTAACTCACACACACAAAAAAGACCAGACTTACTGGTCTGACAGAGACTGGAAAACCCCGAGAGTATGGCCCCTGGACACCCTTATAGCTCAGTAATGAAGTAACTCCTGAGGTTCACCCTTCAGCCAAAGACTAGACAGGCCCATAAAACAAAACGACATTAATGGGGCACACCAGGCCAGGGGCAAAGACAAGAAGGCAGGAGACCAGGAAAGCTGGTAATGGGGAACCCAAGGTCGAGAAGGGGAGAGTGTTGATATGTTGGGTTGGCAACCAATGTCACAAAACAATATGTGGATTGTTTAATGAGAAACTTCTTTGCTCTATAAACCTTCATCTAAAGTACAAGTAAAAAAAAAAAAAATCTCACTTCTGCGTGACATGGCGCTATAGGCAAAAGCACCATGCCGTCCCTCCACAGGAAAGATCCAAAAAACTAAGCCAAACAGAGAAAATGGCAATCCTGAAACCCTATGCATCAAATGAAGAGATAAAGAACTCAGCCAAGCACCGAATAGAATAAGAAACTGACAGAGAACAGACAGCAAGGAGAGATACATGCAGAGGTCCCCTATCAGCTAATGCAGCACAGATCGACCATCTTGGACTCCTATCAGAGACCAGTGAACAGGGAGTACGGGAAAGCAGCTTCCCGGAGCTTCCAGCAGGAGACAGGACAGCCAGTAACCAGCGATATACGCTTTCCCACTCCTCACCCTTCTTCACCCCCACTTGGCCGCCTCTGCTTCCTGTGGCCACAGTTTCTTGGCCAGGAAGCATCGGCTTCACGCTAGTGTCGCTTGGATTCCACCTGCCCGCACTGGCCAGCTCCCCAGGTGCCATTTGCTGGCTGCTGGTGTTGCTTTTTTCTGCTCTTTAGATTTCCTCTTCCTTATCTCTCACTGCCTCCCCCTCGTTTCTCTCAAATACCTGGCTCCGTGCGCCATTTTTGCTTCTTCCTGAAAGGCTGTGAAATGCTGCTCGAATGTGAGACTGCTTCCCGGCCCATGCTGCCACGCTGGTGGGATCCTGGGGCTTTTTGTTTGTTTTGAATTGTTTGTTTGTTTGTTTTCTTTCTCTTTTCTCGTTCTAGCCAGGCAGTACTGCGCGCCTTAGGACCTTCCATCTCAGTTTGCGCAGACGCACAGAGGGATCCCTGAGGGCATTTCTTTTTTCTTGTTTTTTTTTTTTTCTGTTTTCTGTGGGGTTTTCTTGTTCTTTTTTTTTTAAATTTGATTGTTTTCTTTTCTTTTCCCTCTTTTCCCCTTTTTCTCTTTCTTCATTACTCAGTTTCTTGTCTCTTTATACTTTCCATCTCTTCCTGCCCCCTGAATACCTGGCACTGAGTGACACCTCTACGCCTTCTAGCCAGGCTGTACTTTATGGCCTGGGAGCAACTTCCCCAGACCTTGTAACCACACCAGTGGGATCCCTGGGAGCTTTGCTTTTTTTTTTTTTATAATTTTTAATTATTCATTTTTTCTCTTCTTCATCTCCTTTTTGTTTTTCTCCATTTCATAGTCTCTCATCTCTCCACTTCAACAGCAAGCTCCCCTAGCACTCTTTTTTGTTTGTTTGTATGTTTTTGGCTCCTGTTCTTCTCTCCTCTCTCTCATACCCATGTTAACTCCACACATCACATTCTCCCCCCTCTGTACCTGCACCATGCACTGAACATCACACCACCAAGCAGCACAGGCACAGCCTACCAGAACCTGCCCTGCACTGATTACTGGCCCGCCCTGGTGTACATAGTAAGTGCCACAAACAACCCATCCCAGCAACTCCTCTTCAGCTAGACCTGCCCTGCTGTACCATATCTGAGCAACTGACCCTGCCAATTAGAGAAGGAGGTGAAAAGTATCATGCCCACATATGAGCAAACAACAAAGAACACACAGCCCGCCTGCTCAGACATAGCCAAATAAAACAAAAAAACTGGATGAAACAAACAAATCTACAATCACTAAAAAAGAAAAATAACTACCAAGTGCCCCAAAGACAACAGACAATATCAAAACATTTACAAAAACAGGACAGGATGGTTTCAGCAGGTGTCCAAAATAAAACACCAGATGACTTTCCAGCAGAAGAAAAGGCACTAGAACTACCTGATAAGGAATTCAGATCTCTAATATTCAGAGCTACCCAAGAGTTGAAGCAAAAAGCGGACAAAAATGAGGAAAAAAATAGACAAATTCATGGAAAAAACAAATTCATGGAAAATACGGACCAAAAAAATGGAAGAATTCAGGATAATAATGCAGGGCCAAAATGCCAAAATAAATTCACAACTAGGAATCATACAAAAACAACAATTAGAAATCCAAAAGATAAACAAGATTTCAGAAACAGACAGTGTCATAGAAGGGCTGTGCAGCAGGTTTGAAACAGTGGAAGACAGGATCAGCAAAAGTGAAGACAAACACTTGGATAGACTCTGAGGAAAACTCAGAAAAAAGAACGAAGAAAAATGAAGAGACCCTGAGAATTATGTGGGATACAATCAAAAGCAAAAATCTGTGAGTGATCGAAGTTTCAGAACTGGGAGAGAAAACAGAAAACACAGAGAGGATCATTGAAGAACTACTGACAGAAAACTTCCCCAATATCATGAAAGATGAAAAGCTAGCCAGCCAAGAAGCTCAACGAACTCCAGACAGAAAAGACCCCAAACAAAAATCACCAAGGCATATCATAATCACGATTGCCAAAGCCAAAGACAAACAAAGAATCCTGAGAGCAGCTCAAGAAAAACAAAA